ACAGGTTGAGAGAACAGGATCAGAATTCAAAGCAATAGACAAAATAAAAATGCCTTAATTTATGAAAAATAAATTCATTAAGGCCAGTAAAAAGTGTGTGCTCAGGAAGGAGGATGCCCAAATAAAAAAGGGGGTTTAAGTCTTGGAGATTAGAAGCAATAGCAGTGGCTGTGAGCTATAAATTGAAGAGGAGCTGTGGTAAAACGAATCTTAGGGTGGTGTTAGCTGAACTGTGGTATAACCATGGAAAAAAGGTTATTTTTTGTGCTCCATCTGGTGCCGATGAGGTCTCAAAGTGCCACTGCAGTGCTGGGCCTCTCATCTCTAAATTACATAGTTGCCTGTAGGTTTCGATAATGTGCTCTGTAAGAAAAACCTAAAAGGATCGTGTTTTTCAGCCTAGAAGGGGAAATTTTTGACATTTAGCCCAGCATGCTCTGCTGCTCGGTTGTTCTGTGTGGGCTAAAAGCCTGCTTTCATTATGACCGCTGGGAGGAGAACAAAGTGAGATCACCTTGTGGGCAGTATCGGGAATATTTGTCTAACTGCTGAGATTGAAAAACAGGGAAAAAAGCTGGCTTGCAGGACCTCCAGCTGAAGAGAATCTTTGAGTAATCTCCTGTGCTGTGGGTCTTCCCAGACATCATCTGGATTTTACTTGATCCTGCCATAAATACAGAGGGGAAGGCCTGCTAGTTCTCTGCTTTTTAATGAATTTATCATTATTGGGTTGGAATAACTTTTAACGGTTCTATTTGAAGTTTGTTTTGAATTTACTCATAGGATTTTCTTTTTAAGCTACAACAAAGAGGCAGAAGGGAGTAAAGCAGTGCTTAATTCTGTGCTGCCTGCGATGACAAGGTCGTGTTTCCAAACACCAGGCTGGATTCTGATCTCTCACCCTAGAATTAGAATATGATAGATAAAATTTTGTTCAGCATTGCTTGTTCACTCCGTGAGGGACTCATGTTTGGCTTGTTCTGTTTCTTTTTCTCCTCAGAGCCGTGTCAGATTGAAGTGCGGCTGCTGCTGGCCTACAATTCCAACCGGAGCAAGGCGACTGCTAAGGTTCCCAAATCGACCTGGAATGAGAGCATGGAGGCTCTCCCGCAGCCTGAAAACGGCATCGAGGGGACCATACCCTTCAGCAAACCCGTCAAAGTTTATATCATGCCCAAACCTGCCAGGCGGTGAAACCTGCCACTAAGAGAAATACATTTAGGGGGTTGTTGGGTTGCAAATGAAACCCATGTGCTGCGTTCCAAGGCACCAAACCAGAACAGTGTTATGCTTCTAGAAAACATGTCAGCCAGAAAAATAAAGGTGCTGAAGAACGTTGGTCACTGTAAGAAGCAGATAGACTGATGCAGGAGTTATGCAGGTAGCTGAGAAGTTTCGAGGAAATGTTATTTCTGTATTGAATCACCAAAATCGAGGCAATTCTCAGTCAGCATTCCAGTAATAACCGTGTTGGGCCAGAACTCCTCAAGGCCTCTAGGTTTTCTGCTGAAGCCATTTACTATGTAAATGCTCAGGCACGTAAATCTCTGCTTTTTTTTATTTTAACAATACTCTGAGATGAAACTAAGGAGGTTTGATATATTTTTTTTTTTGTCTAAAACTTGTATTTTCGCGTTGGTATCTAAATCCTTAACCAAAAAAAAAAATCTGAAGTGCTGTTGCCCTTGTGTGGGAAGGGCCTTAGAGTGATAGCAACACAGCAGGGTGTTCCCTTTCATGTAAACCAAAAAGGTAGTTGTATATCCCTCTGTCTCTGAATTTTAACCCACTCTCCTGTTGCACACTTGTATGCCTTTAGAAACGCTGTGATTAAATAGCAGGGGTTGAAAAAAAGATGGAATCCCTTGCCACTAAGTCATACAGAATCTGTTTCTGAGTCCTGGTCTTGGCCTGAACTGGTGCTGTGATGGGAAAAGCTGTTTAGTTTTTTAATTCAGCAGCAATTCTGGCAGGTAAAGCCTGCCTGAGGTGTTGCAGGAGCTGAACACGCTCCTGAAGCAGCTGCGCTGAGTGCCAGGGCCAGGGAGCCCCTTACCAACAGGACTTGTGGTCAGAGACCCAAACGTTCAGTCCTGTAATCTGCAGCCCCCTTTTTTTGTCACCCTCTGTTCACAGAGGGCCTCCAACCTAAATTTGATATTCCGATTTGAGCAATTTGTGGCAATCTTTGGTGGGATTTTCTAGGAGCACTTACTGTGTGAAACTTTGTAGTGCAGCAGCCAAATGCTACCTGTGTTCATAAATCAGGTTTTGTTTTTTTTTTTTTTTAAAGGCAGTGATAGTGGGGGGGAAGGCTTAGTGCCTAAACGAAGCAGTGAAGAAATTTTCCACTTGTACAGAGATCAAAACCCTTTACATGCTTTCCTACAATAAAATTGGAAAACCCATTCTCATTTGTTTCTCTTTCTTATAAGAGCGAACCTGCATGGTGTGGCCTAATAAGAGATTACTGTGAGGCTTTCACGATATTTCTTAATTATTATTTTGTTTAGGACTGATATGTTGTGGTCTGAAGACTCCTAACCATAAAACTGCTCAGCTGGGGCTGCAGATAAACCCTCAGGGTGCTGTGTTCACCAGCTGGCCAGCAGAAACTCAGCCTTTCCTCCTGCTCCGTGGTTATCAGGGAGTTACGGTTTATCATGTGCTCCCAGGCCACAGATGATCAGTCAATTCCTCCATTCTGGATGTTTTTTCATTGGGGATAGTCAAAATCTTGGCTTTCTCGTGAGCACTGGGCATATTTCTGGTATCTTCCTCCCAGGTGCTGTGCTTGAACTCATTTAACAGACGAAGCAAAGTTCACGCTCATGCTGCATTGCCACTGAGAATCAAGCCCTGAAAGGCTTTGGAGAAGTTCCACATCTGTAACTTCAGGTGACTGAAATCACTTGAAAATGTAAAACCACTCGAATGTTTCAAATCCCCTAATAAGAGCTTTCTGTAGTTGGCTTCTCTTCTCGATACCATCCCAGAGTTCTCTTTCTCTGGCTTCTGCTTTAAATTGGAAGAAATCTGAGGTCCTCCTTTTCTGGCTGACCTTGTGCTTTGAGAACTTCGTGTTTAACTTTTCGGATTTAATTACACATTTTATTCAAGCCTAGTTTTGCGTGCTTTTAATGGGAAATTCATAATCAGGTCACTTAAGAGCATTGAAACTAATTGGGCTAATTCTTAGGCCTTTGAAACTGAACACTGCAATTACCGAGTCGAGGATGCTTAGAACAACGCGTGGATTTACTCAGAACAACATTGATGATTACGAGATGCTAACTCACAGCTTTGTTTTTACGTGCTTTTAAAAGTAAGCAGGTACAGTCACTGCCAGAAAGACCTCTGAAAGAACAGAACACGTGTGTAAATGGGGACTGTATGATATCACTGTGGGTTCCAGCTCATGGAGAGGGATTTCCTCCGCATTCCTGTGCTGCTTACCCAAGTTGTTAGATCTTTTGACAAAGCTAGAGATCTAAGCGCTGTTTTTATCTTACTTCACTCACCTCTGCCGAGTTTATTCTGAGGAAGGGGAGCTGTAAACACTGCCTGCTGCCCCTTAAATGCTGCTTGCGTGGCGTTCGGTGCGTATCAGAGCTTTTTTTGCAGCCTGCTGCTCCTCGCTGCCAGCTCGGGCGTGCTGCTCCCTGTAGATAAGAGCTGGGGACCGAAGGGTGTTCGGTGGCTGGAGCAGCCCAAGCGGAGCGGAGTGTTTTGGGAACAGCCGACCTGGGCAGCTGAGCCGGGAGCGGTGACAGGAGGTAGAGCTGCAAGAGACTTGCAGCAGGTTATCTCCTTGTCGACACTGAGTTGTTGTACTGCTGGGAGCAAGATTTAGCAGTTTAGAGACAGAAGTTTAAAGACAGAAGCCCGCTTCCCTGCCAAGAAGTGGAATCTCCTGTATCCTGCCAAACGAAAGGAACAACCAGGAGGCCAAATGAAAGGAACAATTAAGAGGCTGTGGCACAAACGCATACACCTCTGTGTCACCTGGCACCGTGCCTCTGCTGCTCCTGCCTGCAGGAAGGACAAAACCAAACAGGGCTGCTGGTGGAAAGAACCCACATGAATTAGCTCAAATGCAGGTTCTGGGTCTAGGAGTTCTGTTAAATATGGCTTCATCCAAAAAATTACTTCAGTGCTGTATGAAAACAAAAAGCAAGCCACCAAACAAAAGCAGTAGGTGAGAGAGAAGGTGTTTGCCGAACTTCTAGTAGCGTAACAGTATTTAATCAACTGGAATCGGCCCCTTTGTAAAAACCTCTTCCTAATCAAGGCCATTTTAAGGCCCACAAGATCATGAAATAACACAAATCTATCACTGCTCAGGAGGCAGCCCCCTGCTATTAGCTAACATCACAAAAATTACATCTTTTACTCCGTGCAGAGTGGTAAGAAGTGGTTCTGCTGGTGTTCCCCTGGGATGACTGCAGCCTTCTGGGTCGGACGGTCATCTTCTGCTTCACACCGTGAAAGTTATAAAGTTAGTAAGTTAGTAAGAAAAGTTAGAAAGTTAGTGAGAAAAACATGGTGGCGCTGCAGCAGCTGAAAAGGAGTTTTTGCTGGTTTGGGTGAGATTTTACCTCAAATGTAGCTCCACGAAAATATTGCTTCAATTAGGAGATTGCAAGATAAAACGTACAAGTACTCACTTTTCCTTCGCTTTTATGCCATGTTGTATTTGATCAGATAAAAGGTTTTAAATGGTTAGGAGAGCAAATAAACAAAGAGGCCACCGTATTTTGTAAATTTGGCTGTTCTTGGGTCTTTGGATAGTCACCCAGTTCTCATTACCAGTCTGAGCTGCTCTGCTGCTCCTTGGATAGCTCCAAGTCCCTAAGTTTTATTGTACTTTTGGTAATGTGCACAGCCTTAATCTGCTCAGGTGAAGAGTAAGTGAGCCTAGTAGAAAACCATAACCTACAATGGGTAACGTGTAACTGGTAATGTTAAGAGAAGCCCACCAAAGAAAAGAAACAGCGGAAGAGCAACTGAAAGAACTTTTAATCCTTTCACTGTAACAGCTCTTGTTGTGATGTGCAAACAGGAAACACAATGCTTGGTAAGAACCCTAACTTCCACCCCACGCTTGCTGGCAACACCTTGCCAACAGTAATTTAGACCGATTTCCTAAAAACTCATCATTTATGCTGCAAGCTAGCTCTGAGACAGAGTTTTTAGATCATTTGAAGCAGGTAGCGACTTCTTTAATACTTGCAAGACACACATTTCACAACTCCGTACTCACAGTGCAGGTAATGGGAAAATTGTTTAAGGCACAGATTATAAATTTATTCCCCAGGGACTTCTTTTTCTAGGCTCTATGTAAAATTTAAAAGTAGGAAGTTTTACAGTCTTGATTCATCTCAGATCTGCACAACCAATACCCTGAGTGAAGTCACCAGCAGGAGGCAGAGTTATTCTGGGGTTGACCCTTTTATTTTTATTCATTTATTTTATCTTATTAATAAAGTGATTCTTTACCACCACTTGATTGTACTCATCAGATGTTTTATGACAACGCTGCAGTAGCTAACCATGTAATCCCAGGCCATTTCCTAAGAAGAATATTCACAATTTAATATCTTAATTTAACCCAAAGGTGAAAAGTGACCAGAATACAGCCAATATTCTAAAGTTTAGGTCAATCTCCAGAACGTATGCAAACGGTTCTGTAATTAAACGATCTCATTAACAACCCACCTTTGTGAGCACTCGGTTTGTTTAAATCCTAAGCTCATAAACTGCCCTTGCACTCGATTTCCAGCGCACATTAATGCTGTGGCATGTCAATCCCCACTGCTGGCTGTAACCTGAGGCAGCCGGGAGGCCTGCCCGTGACTTGGCCGAGGGCAGGGGCAGGCTCTGAGCCCGCGGTGCTTCAGCACGTCGAATGGAAGACGCCCCCCACCTTGACACCCCGAGCAGCCAGGGCGTTGTATTCTTCCACAGCCTTCTCGGTTTGCAAGACCACCACCTCGATCCCGTTTTTCTTTAGATAGTCCACGGTAGACGATGGAACCTCCAAAGGTAAAAGGAAAAAGCGAGGATTAGAGACTTCCCTCCCCAGCACAGGGCTTGAAGAAAAACTGATGAGATTTGTTAGCAGATGCACTTATGTTACTGATAGTTGCCAAACTGATAAAGTGCTCAGATATTTCTAAGCTTGATACCATTTTTTCTCTTTGATAAAGTTACGTGTACGTACACACCTCCCCCCCCCCTTAATGCAGTGTAAAGTGCAGCCTTTTCTTACCAAAGGGAGTGGAAGTTGAGCTAAAGGTAATTAGTGTAAGCAAGGTGTTGTTCAGCTCTCCAAAGAGAATTGCTTCTCACGAAGCTTGGCGCTTGTGAGCTTTGTGTAGCTGGTTTACCTGCCGCAGTGACACCGCCAGCGCTGCTAACAAAAAGGCCTCATTAGCCGAGTCTCCCAGCCTAGTCTGAGAGGGGGAGTAATGACATTGTAAAAAATCCTCCTTGTTTAAATTGCTTCTCTAGCAGAACGTCAGCCTTTTGACTGCTTGACATTGATGCTAACACAGAGGAGCTCACATGAGGCTTCTTTCGGGAAGAGGGTGACTCCCGGCAGGAGTTCAGTCATGCTAAGTCAGCAGCCTGAATTTTTTTTCCCCTCTTGGTAAATCACTGTGGATTTTTTTTCCCCTAAAAAGAAGGGGAGGGAAAACAACCCCGGAACGAAAACCTACCTGCAGAGCCTCGCTCATGCCACGACCGATCACGACGGTTTGCACGCCTTTCTTGACAACTTCTTCAAGGTCAGCCGGCTGCACTCCTGGAGAATGCTGAGGGTCAGAGGAAGGAAATAATATTCAGAGTAGTGGCAGCATCAACCAGGAGGGCTTCAGCTACGGGTTCTGAGCCTGTTCCTCGATTAGTGGTGTAAAGTACCCACCAAAATGTACCACAGCCCCTGCACGGTGGTAATTTCAGCAGGTATTTCATAGGCAGGTGAAGGATGATGGTTAATCAATCGATGGCAATATCGACAGCCTTAATTAACCAGTTAAAAATGAATGATGCATTACACATCCCTAAAACATTTATGGCTTTTTGTAAATATTAAAAGTGAAATCAATAAATTGCAATACGTTGCTTCCTGTTTTCCAGCAAACAAAGCCTTTTTGTAGCAAAGATTGCAGTGAGCTCACGTTTACTCGCTTTAATCATAAGAGAGCTCCTCAAATAATTAAAATGATTAAATCCTTTACCAAAGAGGACTGAAACATATTGGTTAGTGTCATTTCAGGTAACAGTTTCAATTTCTGCTCTATTCTTAATTTTGAGAAGGGAATATTTGAAACCCAACTCCTTTTAAAGAAAAAAGAGCTCTAAGAGCATGTAGATTGTGTTTTTAAAGTACACTCATTTACTGCTGATAAACATAAACATACAAATCTGCAAATATCATGTAATATCTGAAGATAAACCTTTATTATGTTACACTACTCCCTCAGCCCCATTTCCATGGCTCTCTACATGGCTAGAAGTAAGATGACCGACATATTGGCCCCTCCTTGGTGTGCATGATTTTTTTTAACCCATTAACACTTTTCTTCTCTCCCTGCTCCTTTTTTTGCTCAGCAGCCAGCTCCTGTTATTTTGTGTTTGAGCTTTGTTCCATGAGGTTGTGAGCTTTCTCTTTGACATCCTTGTGTCCTCTCCTGTGTTTTTCTTCCTTCTGCCCAGGTTGCCAGCCCTGTAGCCTCCCACAAGGTGTCAGGATTGTTGCCAGCCCTGCCCTGTCCAGCATCATCTTGCTGAACATGGTGAGAGCTTTCCAGTGGAAACCAACACAAGAGCTCCCAAAGCTCTGAGGGAAACCTTCCATATTAAGGTGCCAGTTCTAGGAGGTGGATTAAATTATCCCACCAAAGTATTAGGGTTAGTTGGGATCCAGAATTTCAGCAGCAGAGAGTTTACCTTTAGGGTTGCATTCCCTTGAGGTACATTTACAGTTAAAATCCCCACCTAACACACAGGTGGCTTCATTCTGCGGAGCTTTCTCAGGCCAAACCACTGTAAAACCATTGCTAGTACGAGATAAAACATTGCAAGTTTGTGATAAAATAGGTAATGCTTTTCCTTCGGGGGTTTTTAAGGTAGGCTCAAAGCTTAGACAAAAAGAACAGGTACAGTTTCCTGCAATTACGTTAATTAGTTAGCTGGGGGAAGGTTTGCTGTCATATGATAAGCACTGCTGAGACATTAATGCCGCGGAACAAAAGGATTTGCCGCGGTTATACGATGATCAGGGGGCTTCCACCTGCTTTGTAGGAAAATAGTAGCGTCAGAGGAAATATGGACCATGGAGGAATAACTGTATCATCGCAGCTAATTCCACTGAGGTGACAGTGGGAGGGAAGACGGGCAGCAGAATTTCTTGCCCGTGTTGTTCCCTGGTCTCCTCGGGCCTCCTTTTTTCCCCGCTAGCAGGTTATTAGGGAGGCTGCCTTTTATCCCCCAGGGTTAAGGTCAGGAGGGAGAGCGGTGCTGGGTTCCAGGCCCTCGCAGAGCCAGTCGTGCAGTTTTTCCCTGCTGAAAGGACGGCGTGCCAGGCATCAGGCTGAAAGCAGAGAAGGAAAGGAAGGGATTTGTTTCCAACTGGAGTGCAGGGCACGAGGGGCACCGCTTTATTCCTCAGGCTGAGGGAGCAGCTCCCCCTAGCCCCAGGTAAAACACGCTCAAAGCACGCATGCTACCACGAGGAAACACACAGAAGATGAGTGAATCCTATTGTTCCCAGTGCTAAGTGAATAAAATTCCTTTATAATCCTTCTAGAGGAGGGGATGCAGTCTATTAAAGGCTCATTTTAGCCCTGTATTTGTTGCTTGCTATTCGGTTTTAAAGACCACCCAACTCCCCCCTGGCTGCCATAGCAGTAGGAGGGAAGGGTCTGACCTTCAGCAGGAGCTTTAAAAGGATCCTATACAGGAAAACCTAAATAGGTCATTTTTTGTTTACTGATTACATAGAAAATACGTCATAAAACCTGCCTCTCTAAATAACTCAACTCTTCTTTTCTCCCCTGATTTTCATTTAACAGCCTCCTCTTCCTTGTGTCAACTGCAGGATTCCTCTGAGGACTTTTATGGGCTTAAAGCTTTCCTCTGTCACCTGAAGACATCCCCTGGCTGCAGCTTTAGAAGGAAGGCACATCCTCCTCAACGTCCTAACCCGAAACAACGCTTTGAAATGGAGGAATGAAATCAAAATGTGATCTGGAAACTATTGGGGAACGTTTCATGCTGCATGTGTTTTGCTTCTCCACTTGTGTGTGCACATAAACCGAGAAAGCATCACTGTGAAAACTCGGATTTCTCTTGAGAAGCAAAAAAGCCTCTTGCTTTGCGCCGTACACTCTTTATGGAACTGAAATCTGAGAGCTTAAAAAGTTCTGCTCCCCAGAAGATGATCTAGAAAGTTCCAAACCCAAAGTTCTGCCTCTCGGTTGTGTCCAAATGAACACGGCAGCAACCTGGGGGGGCCTGCATGGATACAGCAGGGTCTAAGGCACGGTGTGTAGGTCTTTTTAGCTTTAATTCTTGCTTGGAATATGTGGATTATTATTTTTTTAGTCAGCTATCTTAGCGCAAGCCCTGTTATGGGACAAATGATCAAACTGGGTTCCCAATATATAATGCTGCTGCTGAATTTGAAACACCAACACTATTCCATGTAGTGTTATAGGATTCTGATAGCAATTACAGATAAAGCTTAAGGGATACAAAAATTGTGCAGGGAATCCTTTAGTACGTGGCTACAAAGCCAGGTCACTGCGGTTGGCAGCCTGTGAGCTTTTTGTGGAGGAATTGTTGCATCTGATGCTGTCTCTGCATACTTCTCCTTGGAAATAAGTAGGAGGAACACTAGGGAAAGGGATATAAACTAAGCTGCCTGCATTGTTCTCTGCCAAACATGTACGGTCACTTGCTGAGGATTTCTTTTGTCTTCCCATAAATTCATTTCTATCCTATTCAAGACAATTTTTATGTAGTCTTAATAAAGGTTGCTACCAGCCTCTTATGAAAACTGCATTATTAATGAAGTCCTGTTCAAAATGCAGGGTGGGAAGTAAAAGGCAAACTCACGTTCGTCCCCGTTTCTCGCCAGTCCCAGGTCCGACTGCCTCCCGGCCACACTTTGCAGTCCTTGTAGGTGGTGGAGCAGCCCTTAACCTTCATCTGACCCCACGAAAGGGAAGCGATTTCAGGGGAAGACATCTCTACGCTGAACCAAAGTCTGGAAAAAAGGATATTTAATGCTTACCATCAGGCTAACACATGCGGCACATTAATGAAAAACCAAAATTGTGTCCTTGCCCCAAAGAGCTGGGAAGAAAATGCTGTTACAGGCTCGATCCGTGTGATTTTGTGGCACCAGAATTGGGCAAAGGACCAGCAGGTTTGTTAATTACCCATCCTCTCGGGGCTCTTGGAGGATTTGGAGCAAATCATTTTACACGCTACATCTGTTAAAGTATCAGGTACTCAGCTTTTAGAACAATCAACAGGGATCAGTTCCCTGGCTATCTTTCCAAATCTGGTTTTTAATCTTGTTGCTAAATATATGATGAAGAAGGTCAAATTTTCCTAAAATATTTGCAGGATGCACTGTTTCTTTGGCCCTCTAAACCACGCCGGTATGTTCCTGTTTATTAGTTTCAGACAGTAGATGAGATTAGAAAAAAAAAAAACAAAAAACCAAACAAGCATGGTGTTGCCTTATTAGCTTTAAGGAAAGGAGAAGACAGTGAAATGTTGGACGTGGGCTTTAAACTAATGGACTTTTGGAGACCTGAAGGGGTCGAGACTTCTTCCCTGAGTCACTCCTCAGAGACACCAAATCTCCCAGCGCAATTTCTCAGGACAGTTCAGAAGCCAAACAACATCATTTTTAATGCCTAACCTCAATCTTTACTGCTTCAGTTTAATGATAAATAAATTTTAGTTCCCTTTGGCCTTCCCCTCGGCCACGCTCTCTAAATCTCTCCTTATTTTCTCATTTTTCCCCGACAGCCGGGCATTCAGGCAGGGGCGATGCCTTGGGAAGCACCACCTCGAAAGTTTCCGCCCTCGTCACAGTCCTTCAAGTAACTGCAACCTGATCGCCACTGGGATTCTGGCACTCGACAGCAAGAAACCAGTCCCAGGGATGCCTTGGAAATGCTTTGGACTTGCTCGACAGCCAAGATCTGCGCCTCGGGAGTGACCTTTCTGCTTTCTGCCCTTCCAGTTCCAAGCGAAGAGGATGGTCTGAAGCCTGCGCCGCAAAGACAGATGCTGGTTTCTGCAGTACCAAGAGCTCTGCTCCTGGCTGACCCAGCAAACCTCTGGCAGATCCTTCCAAATATCCAGATTCTCATCCTTTTCCTTTTTTTAATAATCCAAATTCACCAAGAAAATCAATCATAGGGACCCTGGTGGTGCTGATTAAGGAAGGAGCCCTCACAAAGCAGAAATCTTTGGGTTACCAGGCTTCCAGCCCATCTTGGACATGAGCAGGCAGGCCATGAATCTCAGTGCCCTGCTTCAAACGTCGTGTGAAGTAGAAACAGCCTTACTTTGGATTCAGCACGGGACTGAGGCTGCCAGAGCTGCTGCTTCCCCAGAAGAACAGGGCAATTATTTCTTTCCTGCTCCTTTGTGAAGCTGGTGGCACACGCACCCTGCCAAAGAGGACGCCAGGCAAGCAGCTACAGGGGAGAGAAATTTGCCTGGATTCCCATGCTCTGGATTCTCTCCTCACATACCTACAAAGCAAGGGATTGACACACAAAGGGTCATCAGACTGTTTTCCCAAAAGTCTGGTGAAGCAAGATTAGGGCAGAAGAAATAGCTATCGCTAGTCCCAGCAGAGTGAAATCACCAAAAAGAGTAAAAGGAAGAATCCACTACCCAGAATATGGCTACTAAGAATTCAAATAAATTTTCCCCGGGCTAGTTTTGAGCAGAGACTGCAGCGAGGTGAATGGCAGAGAGGTAAATGAATGGTAACAAAATTAGGAATATCAGATCTCTTGATCAAAATGGTATTTGCAAGGCTGGGTTAATGCAATCAAAGAAGCACAAACTGCAAATAGGATGGCGAATACATGGCTTAAATCCATAGCGTCCAGATTCTGTCATATCCTCTTCCAACAGCACAAAAATCAGGGGCAGGAGCTAAGAGAGATAACTCAAAAGCCATAAATGATGATTAGTAGTCTGAAAGCATTTCCCATCATACTGCCAGGGAATACCAGAAACGTGAGGTTATTTGAATTAGTGAAGGCATCTTAAATTGAAGTGAAGAAGAATGAATTTTTTTTAACAGGGACTTTGGACCTTCTTCACACAGGGCACGGTCCAGTCACTAATCAGCACGGATCGGGGAAATATTTCCCCGACAAATGAGTTGCTTTTTTAATTATTCACTATGCTATCTGCTGAAACAGAGTGCCAAGTAAGAATCAAATGAGCTGGATGCCACAAACTGGAAATTGCCATAGTCCAAACGTGACAGGGAGGGAGGTCCAGGAGGCGAGGAGCAGAGATGGCTGAGGAATCTGTAAGCAAAGCTACAGAAAACATAGGAAATAAAGGAAGCAGAGAAGCTTAAGAGGCAAAATACCAACTTATACAAGGAGATTGGGCTGAAATAAAAAAATATATGAAGCAATGGCTAGGATGGGGGAGGAAAAAATAAGTGATTAACCTAAAGAAACGTGACGTAGAAGTGTAGCTGGGCAAGCAGGTGGATTTAAAACTGGCAACGTTGCTGTTTCTTCTGTGAAGTTCAACATTTCTGCGAAGTATAACCTGCCAGGAACAGCTGGAATAAAAAAGGGGAGGGAGAGAAACGCTGTATTGACAGCCTGTTAAAGTAAATGTTTATTAAAAGCAAAGACACGCCCTGAGGTCACAGAGGGTAAAAGAGTGAATCAAGGTATCAAAATAAGTATCAAAGTATCAAAATAAGTATCAAGGCATGAAAATAAGTAAGCAAGGTATCAAAAAGGGGATGTGGTGCTCTAAAACTAACAGTGAGCAAGGTAAGTAAAAAGTAAGAAACTCCCCTGCATCAAAGCAACTTCATGAGGGTAGAAAAGCAGGCGAAGACTTAAAAACCGACAGCAGAAACGCAAGGGGGGAGGATAAGCGAGGTTTAAAGAAGCAGACAGGACAAGGACTGAGGTAAAGTTGGAAAAAAAAATATATAAATATATATTTTGCTGAGGAGCCGCGGGACGGCGCGCACGGGGAGGAAAGGGGAGGGCAGGCGGCCAGCTTGTGACAGGAGGCGAGGCAGGGTGCAAGGACACGACAGAAGCGAGGCTCAAAGCTGCCTAAAAATTTATTTTTATTCCTATTTCTCCACAGCCCCCGACGCCGCCTCCCTCCCACCCCTTCCCCCTCAGGGCCGTTAACGGCCGGCACGCGCCCGCACCCCACTCACCGGCCGCGCGGAACACCCACCCCCTCCCTCCCATCCTCCCTTCCCATTGGCCAGCGCCGCCTGTCGGCACCACCTCCCCTCCCTCCCATTGGCCCATCCACCCGTCCATCCCCACCCTTGCCCCCGCCCCCTCTATAAATACCCCCGCCCCGCCTTGTTTTCATTGCCGCGCCGCACGCGGCGGCGAGGAGCCGCCCGGCCCCGCGCTCCCGCCCCCTCCCCTCAGGCCGCCGCGGTGCATTGTGGGACCGTGGCGGCGCGCGGCTCGGCAGCGCCCCCCTCACTCCCTCCCCCCCCCCCCCCTTTGCTCCTTCTCCATCCCCGGCCCCAAGATGGCGGCGGCGGCTCCTCAGCCTCCATCGCCGCCTCCCCCTCCCGCCGCCGGCCCGGGTTGCCCGGGTTCCTGGCCCAACTTCGCCGTCGTTTGCTCGTTCCTCGAACGTTACGGGGCTCTGCTGGATCTCCCCGAGCTGCCTTTCCCCGAGCTGGAGCGCGTCCTGCAGGAGCCCGGCGAGCAGGGTGAGCGCCCCCCCCCCCCCCCCTCACCTCCCCTCAGCTTTCTCCCTTTTTCCCTTTTCCCTTCTCTCCGCCGGCTCTGAGGAAGGACTGGGGGGGACGGTGGGGTGTGGGGGGGAGAGGTTGGTGACATAGAAGGGGTTTGGAGTGGGGGGGAACCGGGGCTGGTCCCCCCCCGCCTCCTCCCAGCCCCGGGGGTGGAGCGCGCTGAGGGAGAGGAGGGGCCTGGGATTCCCGGCGTGAAGCCCCGGGGGGGGCTGTGGCCTTTCCCCCCCCTCCTTTTTCACCCCTTCCACCCTTTTGGGGCTGAACAGTTGCTTGGGGAAGGGGGAAGATTCCTCCCCTCCCCCCCAATAGAAGGTGGGGGCTCCCCCCTTTTCCCCCACCCCAATATCGGCTGTGACCCCCTACACCCCCTCCTTCAGCCCCCCTGGGTTGGACTCGTGCAGGGAGATCGGCTTAAATAACTATTTATTATTATTATTTTTTTTTGCTCAGCCTAACGCTGGCAGCGGGCCTCCTCCACCCTGCCTCCAGCTGGGGGGTTGCTTCTGTGCCCCCCCCCCCCCCAGTGTTTGCGTCCCTTTCTACTTCTCCACTAAAATAAAAATACGGTGGGGGAGACCCAAGGCAATGCCCTCAGCCTCTTTATTTCCCCCCCTCCTTTCTCCACCCCCAATGTGGGGTGAGGAATGGGGACGAAGGGATGCGGGGGGGGCACCAGAAAAGCCCCGAGCCCTCCCCAGTGCTGCTATTGTAGGAAATCTCCTCCCCACACACACAGCCAGCCATTGTGCTTGCTCTCTGTCCTTCTCCCCTCCTCCCTTCTCTCCCAGCTGGGCAGGGGGTTAAAAGCTTGGCCCTTTTTCCCCCCCCCCATTTCCCCTTCCAGCCCCCCACCACCTGAGCTGGGCGAGGCGCAGGGTGGCTGGGCCACTCGGCCGTTCCCTTGCCAGCTGCTCCTCCTCTCCTCTCTCCTCCTTTTCCTCTCCTTTCCCTTCAGCAGCAGCAGCAGAAGCTTTGCTTGCCAGCCTCTCCAATTCCTCTGCGATGGCTGTGGGAGGGCCCCGGGCAGCCGAGCGGCCAGGGGGAGGGCTGCGAGGAGGCGGCAGCAACAGCAACAGCAGCCGGGGATCCAGAGGGGAAGGTGCTTGTTGCTCTCGGGCTCTGTCTCGATTATTTCTCTGCTCCTTGCCTCTCTGCACTCTTGCCACATCGGGAGACCGCCGGGCTCACGGCGCATGCTCGCCAGGCCCCATAGAAACTTCCTGCTGCTGGAGAATCCCAACCCGGGGCTGCTTTTCCTCCCCCAAAACCCTCTTTTCTCCCCTTTTTTCCTCCCCATATCGACTCCCTCCTTACGAAAGCCACCCCGCGGCGCGGGGATTTGGGGGTGAAATCGGCGGGGGGGTGCTTCCTCGCCTGGAGGAAGCCGTCCTTCGCGGGGCGCACGCGTCCTGCCTGAGTTTGCACCAGCTGAAATGGAATGAGAAAAGCCTCCTCCGCCTCCCAGCTCACGTGCAGAGGAAAAAACGAGCTCCCCTAACTCCTAAAAGCCGGGCTACCCGCCTGGAATATGCGTCAGTTCCCCCCCGTAAAAGGATTCGGTTGCTGAAGTCCCGTTCTGGCAAAGTTGTTGCAAAACTTCTGAATAAAAGCCGCCGCTACGATGGAGTTTGAATTTGTGATGAAAACACCCTTTTTGAAGTAACGTCTGTAAAGAAAATGAACGTTTTTACCCTGTGACAAAATGTAAACGAGCCCATAAGAGTGATTTGTTGTGTGGACTTGTAGAATAAATTAAAATTCAAGGCTGAGCTAGTGACCTGTGTGTTAAGTACGTGCCTTTGGTAAAAAGCTGAATTTTCTCTGAACTTTAATCGCGTGGGACAGGGGGTGGATATCAACAGGACAACAGCTACAGCACAGCTCGTCCCTACAAAGCTTTTGCGCGCCTTGTGCATTGTGGTGTGTGTGTTATGGGGTGTTCAGTTGTTACACTCTGTATTTCTTCCCGTTTTGGGGGGCAGGACGGGTTGCTCTCCACAAATGGGGACGTTTTTACCTTCTGCTAATGCCCTCTCTGAGCTGCTTGATTTTTGCTTGTGTCTGGTGTAGAGAACGTTTGCCTGCCTTTGCTTATCTTTAAGAAAAGAAAGAGTGGAAGTGTGGAAAACTAAATTTAGGAGGTTCTTGAAGCTTGATGTGATGATTTGCGTGACGGGGATTTGTGTTTTATTGATCGAGCCAACTCGCCCAGCTTGATTTGTGGTGCCAGTATCTACTAGTATGTTTATGCTTTCAGAAAAAACAATTTCAGATACTACATTTCTGTGTCTTTTTTACATATATTGGTTCCTGACAGGGTGTCTGTAAGGTTACAAACCAGCAAGTTGCTGGGCAGTGTTTGAAAACTGAAGAATGAGTTGTTTTGTCCTCTGAGCATCCAGTATTTACCAACCGTACGCAGCTTTTCCTTGGAGAGCAAAAAAGGTTTGGATTTAAGTTGTGCAAAGTTTCACTTTTGATACCAGTGGACTTAGACAGCAATATATAAAACCACCTGAGTGGTTTTAGACACCACGGGCTCTCTTTTCTTGTCTGAAGAGTTGATTGTGGAAGATGCCAGTGAAACTTCCTTCTCGTTGTGCTGGGGGTCTCAAGGAGCAGCGGGAGCTCCGGTCTGAATGTTGCTGCCTTGTTGTATAACAGGCTTTATTTTCTCCTGGTAATTATTGGAACAAAGAGCTCGTTCACGATGAAGTAACCAAAGCAGAAGCTTTTTGGGGAGGAAGGGGCGCTGCTACCTGAGAATTTCGAGAGGTGGCAGTGACAGCAGTGCTCGAGCGCGGAGGTTTCCTTCGTCATCCAAGTTGTTTGGGTGTGGGATTAACCTGCATCAGCAGCATGTTTGGTATTTGAAATGCCTGTGCAGAGGTATGGCCTCGTCCGAACGCACAAACCCGGTTAAAAGATGCGCTTTGGGAGCTGGCAGATAACCTAAACCGTGTGCGGTCAGATGGCAGAGCGGTGATCCTGCTGGTCACAAAGAGAGGAGAGGGATAAGTGTGGATCCGTGGGGGCGCAGCTCTTCCTGCTGGTGCCTCGCTCTAAACCTGTAACTGTTCAAAGTTGTGAGACCTGGGGTCGTTTGGGGAACGTTTTGCTTTGTGAGGGATAATTATCTGGCCTTGAATAATCTTGAGCCTTGTTTTGTACCATGATTTGGGTTGGATTGACAATGGGCTTAAGCTTCTTCCACCAAGATCTGGGTGGTGAGAGCCCTACCTTACACCCGTTGCTAGTTGTCATGCCTCAAAGGAAATCGCTTCTCTTAGGATTTATTAAAAAGTGAGTGAATAAATGGTTTTACCTGGGGCTTCTAATGAGGCTGGGAGATGTGATCACCCCCTGTGTCACTGTACTGGGAGGTTCCAAGCTAAGACACATCGTCCTGCTGCATCTTTTTCCTACAAAGGCAAAATGGTGCAAACAGAGCGAGTAATCCCCGGGAAGCACTGCTTGTTCTCCTTCTTCTAACGCACCTACCTTGCCTGTTTTCCCAAGTTTCTCTTGTAGCAGCCCAGCCGTGGAAAATTTAGTATTTCAACACGTGATGGAGGGGAGCAAGAACTCTGCCTGCGTTGAGGGCTGTGTGTAAGGAACCATGATATCACATCACCTCCTTTGTGTTGGTAAATAGCTCGGGAATTGGTATAAATGTTAATTAAGCACTCGGGCTCTTGTGAATGAAAATATTAGCAGAACGTTTGCTTGCACGACAGAGATCTCATTTTACACATGACTACGCAAAACGCTCGCTGGTTTGCCAGCTTCCCCGGTGTGTGAATGGGAGAACCTCTCGCCGAGGTGAATCGTGTCCTCGGAAGCGTTCGGCTCCGCTCTCTCATCCCCTGCTGCAGGCTTTTTGGAGCAGTGTGGGGTTTGATTTGCTCCTGATTGAAATTTGAACAGGGAGGAATGCTTTGCATAGCGCAGCCGAACAGCGAGCTTGCCTCGAAGTCTTCCTGGTGGTGCTAAAGTTGGGCTTGAAAGCAGCAAATACGTTTTGGTGGGTATGTCTCCGGGCTG